TGGATGCTTGGCGAGAGACATTAGCTAAGGCGTGTTCTCCCTAAACAAGGGGGTGTTTTTATAAAAAAATGGGTTGTGGTTGTTTTCCGGGGGCTTTCGGTCTGGAAAGACGCGGGTCATATTCGGTTACGAATATTAATGAATGCTGTATTCTGTTGTACATCATATTTCCGTGTATAAAGTTGTTCTCCTTTTACGGAAGTGTTCTTTTATTTGCGTGTGTGCGAGTGTGAGAAAGAGAGAGAGCGACGAACGCAACATTTTGGGGGCTCGTCCGGGATAGTCATCTCGATATCGGAATACCAAGATGAGTACGGTACATTCACCGAGAAGGACCCGAGCGAGGACCGAAACACCACGTACTGACGATATGAGGCCCGCGACGGAAACAACATCTCTTGGAGCGATACTGGAGGAGATGCGGAGAATGCGCGAGGAGCAAGCTCGGAGGGAAACAGAGCTCGCAGCGAGATTTCATCAGTTTGAAGATGAGCTCACACGGCTGCAAGGAAATAACCAGCTAAGTCCTTCGATTTCTAGAGTCGGGAATTCGCGGGGCGAAAACGCGGCGGAAATCAACATACGCGCGGAATTAGGTTTTAAATTAAAACCGGACGTGTTTGATGAAACGGTGCCGCTGCGGGAATTTTTTCGCAGTTTAATTTTATCGCTCAGGCGAATAAATGGGATGACGCGACTAAGACCGTTGCGCTTGCTGCGTGTTTGAGGGGCAAAGCGCGTTCTGTGTTAGAAGCGGTACAAGATGTGTCGAGTTTGGAATTTTCGGAGTTGAAATCTAAGCTCGAATTGCGTTTTGGGGAGGGACATCTGTCTCAGAATTTTACGCAATTTACGATCCGTAAACAGAAAGCTGGGGAAGATTTGGCTACCCTTGGCTCTGAGTTTGTGCGCGAGTGTGAGAAAGAGAGAGAGCGACGAACGCAACAATATATATATTAGAATGCAACACATATGTACCTTTTACTTAGCTTATATGTATTTGTGAAAGTAAAAATCGTAATACAAAGAACAGGTGGTTTTGCTTAGTTTTCATACATTTGAAATGCGTAACACAGATTCTTGATTGGTATAATAAAATACATGCCTAAATACATTATTAGATATTGCAAGTACATTTTATATACTTACAATAACGAGTATAAGTATTTAGACATGCATTTTATTATACGAATCAAGAATCTGTGTTACGCATTTCAAATGTTGTATGAAAGCTAAGCAAAACTACCTGTTCTTTGTATTACGATTTCCACTTTTGCCAATATATATAAACTTTAAACATATATATACACACATATATATACTCTTATTTTACAAATATATATGCGTGTGTAACTATTTTACCTGTTTTATTCTTCCCGATGCGGCCCTCGTCGCCGGGAAGGTTGTTGGCATCGTTGCCGGCGTCGTCGCCAGGAAGGCTGCCGGCGTCGTCGCCGGGAAAGATGCCGGCTTCGTTGCCGAGGAGGATGCCGGCGTCGTCGCCGGGAAAGATGCTGGCTTCGTTGCCGAGGAGGATGCTGGCGTCGTCGCCGAGAAAGATGCCGGCTTCGTTGCCGAGGAGGATACCGGCGTTGTCACCGGAAAGATTGCCGGCGTCGTCGTCGTAGCCACGCGGCCTCTCGTGGCAATGCTGCCTTCGCTTTTTGCTGAAAATAAAATTTTGTTTTACATTGTATAATACATATGATTATTATTAACTTTTCTGGTACAGAAAAACGCGAGATCGTTTGCAATAAATGTTACATATCCAAGTTCGCGTGAATGTGTACAAAGAAAGAATAAAATATATAAATTATCATATATACTTGCAATCGCGAATAAATGTATTATTAAATGTAAACACCGTTCAATTTATATTACAGTGTGTACATTTTAAAAATACATTCATTATTTTGGAAAATATATAAGAACGATATTTAGATAAATGATACTTACGTCTTCTCTTCATGCTGGTCCGAACACGAGTGATTTTCCACAGTTGCTAGAAGGAGATCCCGCTTCACACGCACACAATCAGATAACCTGCACATGTAGGCTCTGCGCAGAGCCTTTCCACTATCCAATATCTTCTTCTCGGTATTGGTGACTGAACACAAGGAAATAAGCTCACGCATGTGAGCTCATGCTCCTTGCACGTGCATGGCTGCTATGCGATTGTATCTTTCCGTGTAATCGTAAACAAACGAGACTTGCCGGGCGAAAGAGCTCGCACAACAAATATTATAATGTTTTACTAAACGGTCAATTTTTTTCATAGTACATAGAGAAGAGAGAAAAAAATTAAGCATGAAAACATCGCATTTTGGAATCTAATATACTTTCTTTGTCAGATTTAAAAAAGAAATATAAAACACTTCGTTTTTCATATTCTGAATAAAGAGATATTTTGAGCGAAATGTACAAATAATACACTACACAATTTTGAAATATATTTTCTAATTCCTCGTGAAAAACATACAAATCAAAATGTATATCAGGTATGTAATAAAATATGTGACACACATAACATATCAATTTCTGTTCTTATAATGTCGTGAATTATAGATCGTCTAAAGAGGCCTTCAAATATAAAATATATATCCATATACATATATAATATTGCATCCGCGGAAATCGAGGGCACCATTACGATAACTTTGGCCCCCTATTTGAAAGGTCGTTTCTGAAGACATTTTTGACGAGGGAAAAATAGTTGGTCGCTAGTAGCAGGATCTGCGTAACGCGCAGGCCCGAAGCGATGGTCGAAAGCGGTGAGAAGCGCTAGACAGGTGCGGCGTGCAATCGTTCCCGGTTTTATTTACAGGCGCTGACGGCGCGGTTAGAACTAGAGAGCTTATTACGAACAGGCCTTATAACTAACGGACTTGGTACTAGACAGGTCTTATTACTAGCAGGTCTTATAACTAGCGGACTTAGTACGAGACAGGTCTTATTATTAGCATGCGGTTACAACTAGCGGACTTAGTACGAACCGGCCTTAAGACTAGGATGCGGTTATAACTAGCGGACTTAGCACTAACAGGCCTTACAACTAGCAGGTCTAGGACTACGAGACTTAAAACTAGCGGACTTATCTCTATCATGCGATTATATTTACAGCGCGGTCTGTACGTGCACTTATTATCTAAGGTTAGGTCAGGCGGCCAGGTATTGCCGGCAGGCTCGAGTGTCACGTCGAGCGCTGCCTAAGCAACGGAAGTCGGTTCAACCCGACGGGGCCAAGTACAACCTTGGCCCGAGGTATAGAGTGCCGGTTCAACCCGGCGGGGCTGAGTTCAACCTCAGCCCGTGGAGCGGTCGAGACAGGAGTCGGTTCAACCCGACGGGGCCAAGTACAACCTTGGCCCGAGGTATAGAGGGCCGGTTCAACCCGGCGGGGCTGAGTACAATATCTGCCCTAAGAGGTGCTAGGTAGTGGTGAGATCGGTATCAGGAGCTGGTCGGGATAGGATCTGGTCCCGATGTCTCGGCCGGCCGGGCTTATATACCCGGCCGGCGGCCCCCACTGTGCGCCGTCGGTCCGGCGGTGGGAGTCGGTACCGCGTGGGGACCCCGCGAGAGCGAGACAGAGCGTGTCGGCGAGCGAGATCGCATGCTGAGCGAGATAGCGCGTGTCAAAAGGGAGAACGTATGCGTGCGGCAAGCAAGATGGCCGTAGTAACGGTCCTACCGTTACAACCCAAATCAAATTTTCGTTTCGAATTAAACTTTAACTTTAAATATCTAAAAAATTCTAAGAGACCGCCGATTAAGTTATAAGGAAAAGTTACTCAGGATCATGATCTTGACAACATATATCAAGGTCAACATCGTTGGGTCCGTTTTTATAAAGTTTTATTATCATGTCCAATATTTAAAGTAATATATCTCGAAAACTATAGGTCGGAAATTTTTTTTTACTATTTTTCCCGTGTTCCTCGTCAAAAATGTCTTCAGAAACGACCTTTTAAATAGGGGGCCAAAGTTATCGTAATCACCCCAAATCGAGATATATCGAAGCAATTCGGGTCATTATTTACACTTATTCACTAAATTATATATATAAAGTTTATATATATATATATAAATATAAAGGTGTGGGCTTCTCAATAAAAAACACAGGAATATTTTATAAACTACTTAATTCTTTTTTGTATAAAATAGAAAACTCGAATCTTTATCACAGTAGTTAAGGTAACGTGATGTCTCTTTGCCTAAGACCGGAAGAAGAATAATCCTGTCTCCCTAACTCGGTGGCGCTAATGTCATTCGTGGTCTTTCTGATTGGTCCTGTAATTTCCCCTAGGATGCGCTGCCACAAAGGTAAATATAGCGAATAGGGGACCCAGCCCCAATGACCTTGACCTTGACATATGTTGTGAAGATCCCCTCCCCCCTCCCGTGTGTGTGTGTGTGCACGCGCGCGCGCGTGCTTCCTGTCAGTGCATGTACTTTGGTATATTTCAAACTTTTTTTGTTAATAATTTTTTAATAAGCAACTAGGCATGGGTTAAAAAATGCTGAGCCGCCCTGCAAGTTTGCGCGGCATTACTGGAAGTATATACAGTGGAAGAAACAGTGAGTACGTGTACATACCGCGTATGACTCGCTGTCAGCTTTATCGCTGTAACGCGACGTTATATTCAGTACGATTCGTACCGATAGAAAAAAACAAATAAATAAAAGTTATAAACTGTAACACTGCACATTCAAGTATAATGTTATATATATATAGTGTTACATTTGTTTTGTGAGTGTGCAGTTTAGACAATAATGGGCCAAAAATATAATGAAAAAAATCTGCCTCCCTCTCGTCGAAGACTATCTTGGAAGAAAGGATGGGCACAGAGATTAGTATTTTTTCATATCATAACTGAAATTTCAATGAAATTTATAATAGAATAACATGAAATTTATAATAGAATAACATGAAATTTGATGTTATTTTATATTAATAATATTATTTTATGAAATATGTATGTATAAGAATATGGAAATAGTAAATGAAATACTTTGGAACAAAAGACAAAAATATCGCAAATTATAGGTATCATAAGATTTCCATTTTCTTATGGATGCATATATTTCATATAGTGATATTAGAAATAAAAAATACCATTATAAATATAAACACACATATATTGTATATATACAACAGAATCGGCGCACCACTTACTAATAACGGATTCTTCAGATCACAAAACGATTTTTCTTTCTAATCAGCAAAAATATCGAAGGATATTATTTTTCACAAATTCCAAATTTTTTTTATCATTTATCTTTGTCGTTGAGCCATTATAATTATTCCATTTAAAATTAACTGAAGAATATAGGTTTCTAAATCTACCCACAAAGTTTGCCAAAAAACCTTGTTTTTTCATTTATAAAGATGAAATTATGTATGTACAATATTGTATGTATCATTTCTTCATCCCCTATGGGGTTAGAAGGCGTTTTTCAGGAACGTACCCAAACCTTTACATTCCTCTACCTTCCTCTACATTTCCTGTCCTTATTTAAACCCGACCTGGCCCTTTGCGACCTTACAAATATTCCTCCCTCCCTTTCCTCGTCCCACCATCTCCCTCCCACCTCCCCTCTCCCCACCTGTTCCCCCCCTCCCCTATTCTTTCCACTACCCCTCTCATTTTTACCTTTCTCCCCAATACCTCCTCCATTACTTCTACCATAATCTCCCTTCTCTCCTCCGGCTCTTTCTCTTCCACGCCTCTCCACACTACATTTCTTCTCCTTCTTTCTCCTAGTCCTTCTCTTGTCCTTTCCTCCTTTTTTCTTTTCTCTTCTCTCTTCTTTCCTACTCACCTTCTCTTCCTTCGCCCTCCTTTCCTTCCTCACCTTACTCCATTCTTCTTTCCCTCCATTCTCCTCTCCTTCTCTCTCCTCCATTTTTCTCCTCCTAATCCTCTCCTTCTCCTCGTCCTCCTTTCTACTTCTTATCTCCTTCTTCTCTCTTCCCATTCTTCCATTTCTCTCTCCTCCTGCGCTCTCTTCCGTGCTCTCCTCTATCCTTTCCCTCTTCTCTCTCCCTCCTCTCCTTCTCTCTTCTTTTTTCTTCCCTTCACCCGACCTGCTCGCCCTCTTCTCCTCCTTTCCTCTCTCCTCTCTTTCCTCCTACCCCACTCCCTCCTTCCTCTTCTCTCTCTCCCGCTTCCTCTTCGCTTTCCTCCTCCAACCAGTAGTTTCTTTCCCTTCTCTCTACTCCTGCACCTAACCCTTTCTTCTTCCTTTCTTTCCTTACCTCTCTTTCTTTTTCACTGCCTGTCTCTTCTGTTTCCTCTCTCCTTCCATCCTTTTTCACTACAATTTCCTCTTTCACTGTTCCCCTTGCTCCCCCTATCCCCCTCTTCTTTCTTCTTCCCTGATCCCTCGCCTCCTCTCTCCCTTCTTCTACTTCCTCTTCACTTTCCTCTTCTTGCGACACCGTTGTTTCCTCCTCCTTTTCTCTCCTTCCTCTCGCTCTCTCTTCTCTCCATAATTTCAGCTCCTTCCATATTCCCCTTACCTCCACCACCAGCTCCTTCAGCAACTTTTCCATGTCCTCCATCTATTTTTCTTTCTTCCCGTTTCCTTTTCCCAGCCTTCTTACTTCTCTCCCTTTCTTTCTTTTCTCTCACTCTCCCTTCCACCTTTATCTCCTTCCTTCTCTTTCTTTCCTGTCCTCTTCCGCTCTTCTCACTCGCTTTCTTATCTCATATTCCGCCTCTCTCTCCTTTCACTTCCTTCTCCTTCTCACCCCTTTTCTCACAACGCACTTTATCCTTTCCTGCTTTTCTATCCGCTACCTTTCACCTAACCTAGCTTACATTGCAATTCCTTCATTCGCCAACTCTCCCTTTATTCCCGCGTGTGCGCCTCACTCTGCCCTTCTTGCTTATCCCCTTTCTGACTTTCTCCTTCTTCTTCGATTCCTCTCCTTCTCACTTCCTTGGCGAGTAACGATTACACGTGTTATTCCCATCGACCCCCACCT